CTGGAGCAGGAGCTAAACAGATGTGACACCACTTATTTAGTATTTTCCACTTATTTTCTGACAATGTCACATGCTCTAAATCGGTTGGAATCCTAAACAAATTAAGGGCTCTTTTTATTCAGGTTATGTGTCTTTTCCCCCTGTGGAATTAATAATGTTCTCCCTACTGTAACTTCTATCAATGTAGATTTAGTTTTGTTTTGTTTGAACTTGTGCAGTACTTATTACCTACTTATTCATCTTTTTAGGCCAGAAGTTCCTATTGACCAGTTGTTAACATTCCTGTGTGTTAAGGTGCTTTTTTGGGGGAAGGGTTTTTTTTTTTATTCCTCCAAAAACTGAAAGCATTTGTGAATTGAGCCAGGTGGGTGAGAGCCTGAGAGGAAGGGGCAGCCAAGAAATGGAAATATTTGTCCTTTGCAAAACTCTTAGTTGTTTAAGAAGAGATTGGCAAAGCTTTTAGGCTGAGTTTGCCCTGCCTGGGTGCTGTGGCCACATTCTCCTCAGTTGTTTAAGAAGAGATTGGCAAAGCTTTTAGGCTGAGTTTGCCCTGCAGCTTGGCCTGCCTGGGTGCTGTGGCCAAATTCTCCTCAGCGCCAGACCCTGACCACGAGCTCGGGAGGGCTGAGTCAAGGCATTTCTTGCTGTAATTCCTGTGCTCCCTGCAAGGGGGGCTCTGGGGTCAAGGTGAGGCAGGGTCCCTCCTGCCCGGGGTGCTCTGGGGTGGAGCTGCAGCTCTGGAAACCCCTGAGGTTCTTTGTCCCCTCCCCACACCCCAAATCCTCAACTCTTTGTTCACATGAGCTGCAAGCGGAGCTGAGCCTGTGCTCATCAACAGCAAAGCAGCTCATGACCCCAGCAGATGTTTTTGCATTTTAGGCTAATGAGAACTTATTGGATTACTGCAGTCTTCCCTGCCTCGGAGTAAATACCACTTTGTTGGAGATCCGGAAATTCATCCTGAATATGATAAACAAACTGCTGGCTGGGCTGGGATTGCCAGGACATGAAAAGAGTTCCAGAGCGGCAGAAGATCTAACAGCCCTGAAATGCACCACTGAGCCACACCAATTAAGAGCATTTCCAGTGATTATGTGAGCATTCCTGTTCAACTCACAGAAATTATTTTAGGTTGTTTCTTCCGCTGCATTTGTGTGTGGTCTGTACAGCAAGCATGAGGTTTGCAGAGTGGGCTCAAATGCCTCTGATCAGTTTATTTTTAAATATTTCTGTGAAAATGTATATGCAAAAACTGAGTTTCCTGCTAATTTAAGGTCTTAAATTTTCTGTGTTATGGTTGCCCCTTCAGATGTAACTAATTTTTTAATTTATATAGACAATGTATGTTTGGAGATGTCCTGTAGGATATAAAAACCTCATTCCTTTGTTTAATATCTCTTGCATATGGGAAGTGGCTCTACTGCTCAGACTACACACAAATTGTATTTCACCAGTCATGTAGGAGCTGAGAAGAGAATTGGGAAATTATTTCTGACTAAACATCTGAATGACAGCCCCTTCTGATAAGCACAGTGCTCTTCCTTCTAAATCATTCAAAATCCTCCACTTGAATGCTTTTCCTTAATTCAGTCACTTTGTCAGGAATTAAAATGTTATATTACTGTGAAAGATCAGACTCTCCTGCTCTATAGATGAATAATAACCATTTTGACAGAACTATTTACTAATTATGTTCTCAATATCATTATCCTGTTATATGCTACTTAGATTACAGTCTTAGTTGAAGAGTGCTCTTTAATTATCCTTTCCTTATAATTTTTTCTAGAGATGTTTGTATTCCTGGGGGCAGGATCAGTCTGGTTTCTGCCACTCTGTCTGGACTGATGTAGTCTCTGTAAAACCATTTTCCTCAGTGCTGGGAGGTGCAGGAGTGTGGCAAAGCCTGGGACACTTTGCAGTTATCAGTTTCTGTTTTTGCTATCTCTGTTTGTCTGTCACAGAAACACGAAGGGAGAACAAAACTCAGAGTTAAAGAATAGGTGTGGCTTTTTTACCATGAATATAATGTTGTAAAAATTAACCAAGGCCTTGTTCCCGTCTGGTGCTGTGTAATGACAGAGATGAATGTTCTTCCACTGGGAAAGGGGGAGAAATTATTCTGGAAATTGATGACATTTTTATTTTTCACCCACCTTCTACTGAAATCTAGTGTGTGCAGGACTTAACACAAAACTCAGTGATTAATAGTCATTATTTGGTTTAGTTCAGTATCTTTTATGCACAATTTACATGTATTAAAATCTTGAAGCAAGTGAGAATTACCTTTTATACCTTTGGATCTGATCATCTGAGTGACAAATTAGTGACACCACTAATTTGGTGCCCTGAGGCAGTGGCTAATTATTGATGCCTTGGTCCTACCTCTTGTTTCCTGTGAGTTGTCTGACTGAGTTCAACCTGACAATTGAGGTGGGGGGAAAAGCAGAAGGATTCCCAGCTGTGAGTGGCAGTACTTGGGAATTATTCTTTTTTGCTTGACAAATCCCTGTCTGATAATTTTCACATTGCACAGATTTTTTATGAGGTATCTGGGACATGGGGGAGCATTCCTTCTCCTGCAGAGTAACGATGAGAAGTGTCCAGGGTGTGAATTAGAACCAATACAGATGTATTCACACCTTGTTCCCTAAACCCCTGTCCCTCCCTCACCTTTCTGCCACCAGCATGGCCAACACCAATCCCCCACATGCTCTCAAGTGCCTGAGATTCCTGAGACTTTATGAGGAGCAGAATTACGTTTTCTGTAAACGAAATAAAAATCTGAGCTATGCACAGTGCAAGCGGGTGGGTGAATATGGCCCATAGATCTGACTGATGAATAGTTTTTATACATGAGCAGTTCTTACAGAACTTCCTTTTAACTCCTAACCATTACCAGATGTGGGTTGCAGGCGGCTGCTGGAATTCCAACACCTGTTGCATCACACTGAATGGGATTCATTTTGGCAAGCACAGAAAATTCCATTTCAGTAAGTAAATAGTTTGAAATTATATCTAAAGCCTCCTTTTTTTTTTCAGACCAAGTTGATTCCAGCCTTATTTACAGGATTGCACATACCTTCATAATTAGAAGATGGGTTGCAGTCTTCAGAGATTGTAATTGCCTGAGATTTCTTGTAGTCAGTAAATATCAAATGGAAAATCTTCAGTTTAGGAGAAATCTCCCCTTTAAAAGAATGAGCAATTCAAAAGGGCTGTATTCCACATAAGGGTGATTTCTATCTGTGCTTTTTGGGGTGTAGAAATCCACATTTGTGTGTTACTCTGAAGGTGATGGAGCTCCATTTTAGAACTGCACTTTGCTGCCTTCATCAATCCATTGCTGAATCCTGTTGCTTGTTCACAGTCCTTACCCAGAGCTTTTTCAAAGCTCTTTCCTGTGGTTGGCAGGACGGTGTTTAGTGGCATTTTGTGGGTTTTTTGGTACATTCCCCATAGATCTCATGTACGAGTCTATAATGAGCCGTTTATGGTTTGCTCTGGAAAGATATGGATTGAGTGTAGAGGTAATTAATGAATTCATATTTTTGAAAGCATGATGCTATTTCAGCCCAAACATACCTGATCTCTGCCCTGCCATGGCAACAGCAAAGGTGCTTCATTTTCCTTTTGCCTCCTTTAATCTTTAAACAAAGGATCCCAACATCCCTGAAGTGTCATCCTGAGGAGAGGCTGGATCAGTAAGGCTGCTCTGCAGACAGCAGGGTTCTGTGTTTGTAGCTGAGAATAGGAAGAAACTGGAAAACAATTTGGAGTTACTAGATTTTTTCTTTGCTTGTTTCAGTTTGTCTCAAAAAAAAATCCTCAAACAAGCAAACAAACAAAACCTAAACCATTCCACTTTAATGTACTTTCTAATAAGTTCCTTCTCTTAGTTTCTAGTTCATAATTTCCTTGGGAAGTGACCCCTGTCCTTCTAGAGTCTTGTCTAATTTGTTCAAAAAGGGTTTGTTCTTTTTCTGGGTTTGTTCTGCCTATCCACAAAAATGAGACAGTGCTGGTTGAGGATAGATTTAAATAGAAAAATGTAGCCACATCTCACAGTGTTAGCCATTATTCAAGATAATCTGAATTTATCAAAAAGCTATTGAGTTATTGACTTTACTTTTAAGAGAAGATATCAAAATGAGCGTCAGTTTAACACAAGATAAAAATCTGAGCACTATTTTTGTGTGTAAGCCAGGTGTGTTGGGGAAAAATATTATTCAAACTACCTACATTGAGGGTTTTCATTTATTGCTGGGGCAGGAATTCCCCTCTGAAGCCCTGGTGTGCCTGGGTTTTCTCCAGCAGGGATCAGAGGAATCATTCCTTGATATCTCTGTGCAGAGTGAGATGGCATTTGCTCTGTCACCTCGGCTCTCTGCTGTCCCTGGGGTTTGCTTTTCCCAGTTTGTGTGACTCTGCAGCTCTTCCTCAGGCTGGTGCAGTGAGAACTCCCTCTCCTGTCCCAAGAACTAGAACCGCGGGACAGAGGGATGGAGAGGGACAGATCAGGGCCTAGGGAGCGAGGAGGATGGAGGAGCGTCAGTGCTGGCACCGGATTTTGGGTTGGAGAGCGGCTCCCGGGCCGCGCTCCGTGGAGCGCACCGAGCTCAGTTCCCGGGACCGGACCGTGCCGGCGCTGCCGTGCCCCGCTCCTTTTCCTCTCGTTTCTCGCAGCTCTCCCATCTGCGGCGCTCAGGAGGAAGGCGAGGAGCCCGAGCAGCGCTCCCGGGGCTGGGCGGAGGTGCGGAGCGGCCGGGGCCGGGCTCAGCGCACCTGGGGCCGGGCGGGGCGCGGCCCCCTCCCCTCGTCCCCTCCCCGGTGGCGCTGTCAGGAGCGGGCGGGGAGCCGCAGACAAAGAGCCGGGGCCGGGGCCGGAGCCGAGCGGGCACCGGGGCCAGGAGGGGGCGGCCCGGGGGCGGGGACGCGGCGGGGGCGGGC